ACCCCTGAGATTCGGTATTATGATGATTTACCCACATTTTTCAATGGAATTGTCTGAAATTCCACACGGGAGTTCATTGTGAGTACTTTATCCCCTGAAAGAGAATTGTCTATATAAGTCCACAATATCGCATATCCCCCATATAACGGTACCCCCCGATGTTCGGTATTTTGATGATTTTAGCCACATTTTCCAATGGAATTGTCTAAAAATCTGCAGAAGTTCCTTGTGAGTACTTTATCAACTGGAAATTAATTATCTTTATGGGTCCAAGAATCGTATAGCCCCCATATAACGGTACCCTCCCCCGATATTCGGTATTTTGATGATTTTAGCTACATTTTTCAGCAGAATTGTCTGAAATTCTACACAAGGAGTTATTTTTGAGTACTTTACCCCTAGACATAGATTTGTCTACATAGGTCCACAATATCGTATATCCCCACATATATCAGCACCTTCCGATATTCGGTATTTTTAAGATTTTAGCAGAATTTTTAATGGATTTAATGTTTTTGAAAATTTCTTAATTCGTTCCAAATGGTGGGGTTTATTCAAAGTTCGGCCCGGCCGAACTTACTGCTTTTTTTACTTGTTATATAATATAATTTATTTATTTTATATATTTCAATCAAATATAATTTTTTATAGGAACAACAACAGGCTGAAGAGCAGGAGCGTTTGCGTAAGATTCAAGAAGCTTTGGAAGCCGAACGTCGTGCTAAAGAGGAAGAAGAGCGACGTTTGCGTGAGGAAGAAGACAATAAACGGCTGTAAGTATAATTTTCCAAAATGCGAGTACTTAAGAAAATAAACTATAATTATATACAAAATATGTATATATAATTACAGCAAGGCTGAAATGGAGTCTCGTCGCAAGGCTGAAGAAGTGCAACGTCTTAAACAAGAAGAAGAGGATCGTAGAGCTGCTCTGGCACTACAGGCACAATTAGAAAAAGAGGCAATAGACGATGCTAAATATCGACAACAATTGGAACAAGAACGACGGGATCATGAATTGGCATTGAGATTGGCTACTGAGTCCAATGGACAAGTAGAAGACAGTCCGCCAATGATAAGAAAGTAAGTAGAACGACAATCTTAGAATTGGATTTCGAAAATGACTCTATGTAAATAGCTTAAAAATATGGAAAAAGCTATACCCCACAAATGCACCTGTGTTCTTGTCCTTTTGTACAAAAATTGTATTGGAGGAAGTATTGTTATTATTTATTAATATTTTATTTTTATTTTAAACACACAAAATTCTGTAATTTGTCCAATTTTTACGTTTTTTTTTTATTATTTAAAATTTTGTATTTTGTATATTTTTTTATTTACAATGTGTTCTTCCTTCGGCCGAACAAAATCACCCTATTTCCACACAACAAAATTCCAAAACAAACAAAATTCCACATTATGTATTATTTTGGTTTCTCTTTTTGCAACAGTGGTCAAACGGATATGTCGCCAGTGGGTCCAAATAAACTGATCAGGTATATACCACAAATAAGTACAAAAACAAACTACACCAATCTTTCTATCCCCCGTTTTATTGCTTTCCCTATTCCAATAAACTAAGCAAACAACATATTAACAAATAGGTTATGATCTACAACAACAAAAAAACTAATTTATTTTATTGTCACTTTTACTAATCTCTTCTTCACAATTTGCCACCACCGAACAAATACAAAACATAAAATATAAAATAACAAATTTAAAAAGTTTTACCAGAGATGTTTCCGAATTAGCATCTCGTTATTTAAGACAGAAGTGAGTTTCAGGTTCTTTTACGCCACAAAATCTAGTCTTTGGTAGATTATTTCAAATCATCATATTTTCGTTTCTTCGTTAAATAGTAATTTTTCGATTTCAACAAATTTCAGTAGTCGTAGAACATAACTAACATTTTTTTAGAAAAAAAAACTCATAATTATTGTTTTCTTTACATTTGTATATACATATATTTATTTTCAACGACATTTTAATTTTAATCGAATCAATTTTGTAATTAATCAACAAGGTAGAAGGTTTCTTTATTTTTCATTTTGGTTTACTGACAACATTAATGCATTTCACATACTTTTTTGTTTCATTGAAAATATTGACTTTGCTTTGTAAAAAATTTCTAACTGATTTAATTTATTTTTATGTTATTTCAATGTAAACCTCAAAAAAAACAAGATCTGAAAATGTTCGTGCTCAACAACAGGCTTTGGGAAAACAAAAATACGATTTATCAAAATGGAAATATTCGGAACTGCGTGATGCAATTAACACTTCCTGTGATATTGAATTGCTTGAGGTAAGTAAAATTGACATAATAATACAGGGTGAGATAAACAACTGCAACAAAGTCAAAAGCCATACTTTTTACATTTTTTTTTTAAAAATGTCGGAAATAGCATCAAATTTTAGAGTAAGTTTAGATTTGTTCGAATTGGACACCTTTCACACGAATTATGGCCTTCAACGGCCAATGAAACCGTCACACGCTGCCCGAATGTTGCTCTGCGGTATTTTGGCCCATTCCCGGCGAAGTGCTTGCTTGAGGTGATCGACACTTTGGTATTTTTTAGTGCCAACATTGCTTTCCAAAATACTCCAAACACAATAGTCCAACGGATTGGTATCCGGAGATTTTGGTGGCCATTGTGAGCTGAAAATGAAGCGAAGAACATCATTTTTAACCATTCTTGGGTGGCGCGTGCTGAGTCCTGTTGGAATGTCCAAGGTCTTCGGCCAAAATGTTTGCATGCCCAAGGCTTTAATACACCCTCCAGAATATTTTCGCGATAATATTCGGCATATATTTTGATGCCACTGTCGATTAATACGAGCGGAGAGCGACCATCGGCTGTTATGGCGGTCCACACCATCACCATGGCCGGCGCTTGAGTTCTGGTGGCCAACCGAAAGTGCACATTTTCAGCTGCCCTCTTTGGACAACGAATGTTTTCTCATCGTAGAAAACCAAATTCGGCAGTTCACCACTTTCGGCCAAGCGAAGCAATTCTTTAGGTCTTTTGTGTCTATTTTCTTTTCGATGCGGTGTAAGCTCTTGCACTTTTTTGGAATTACAATGGCTTTACCCCGAGATCATTTTGCCAATATTGGCCGAATGGAATATTGCGATATGTTCAGCTCACGAGCCATTTTCGGCCACGGCAACGCGGGTTTCGATAAAGTCGCGTCTTTACTTTTCGAACCATTTCTCCTGATGTTGCTGTTTTCTTTCGTCCACTTCCTTGACGTCGGGCTACGCTACCATTATCACGGTAACGGGCGATGGTACGAGACACAAAAGATTTATTCACATTTAAATGCTGGAGCGCTCTTACGATAGTCACTTGTGATTTTCCAGTCAAATATAAAGAAATCACACTATCACGCTTGAATTCCATCACGAATAACTTTTTTCTGGAAAATTCTCATCAAATATGAACTGAGCTGCACTGTAATAATTTTAACAGCTGTCGAACGAGTGACTTACAAATGACAGCAGTCTGAAGTTGGTTACAGCTTTTTCATCTCACCCTGTATAGTTTAAGGTTCAATTAGACGTACAATAACCATATAATATGAAACAGCTGTTCAAACCAATTTTATGGGGTATAATTTAATTGATTATTTGTGACATACCATAACACCATACCCATAACTGTTACCGTAGATAACTATTGTATTTTGGTTTTCTGTCGAAGAACTTATTTTTATTTATTTGTCATTTTCTATTGTATTTTGTGAAACCTGATTTATATATTTTTCTCAAATTCTGCAGGCTTGCCGTCAAGAATTCCATCGCCGCTTGAAGGTCTATCATGCATGGAAGGCAAAGAACCGTAAACGTACCACCATGGATGAAAATGAACGGGCCCCAAAGAGTGTTATGGAAGCAGGTATTTCTTATTAGACATTATTAAAATATTACAAGCTTATTGGAATTTTTCCAATCTTTTACTTTCTTAGCTTCTAAGGCCCCGCCATTGGTACAACCTAAACAAGAAATTACAACTGCCCAGCATCGTTATTTCCGTATACCGTTTATGAGGGCCAATGCTCCGGAAAATAGTAAGGACAAATAAAGTAAAAATTGTCTTTATTTAATAACTGTATTTAAATTTAAATGTTCTATAGCAAAACGTGGTTTGTGGTATGCCCACTTTGATGGTCAATGGATTGCCCGACAAATGGAATTACATGCGGATAAACCACCCATTCTATTGACAGCTGGTATGTGTAAACAATTATTGTGTTTAATATTATATAATGCATATTATTATTATTGTTGTAATTTTTATTCTTCACGTAGGTATTGACGATATGCAAATGTGTGAATTAAGTTTAGAAGAGACCGGCTTAACCCGCAAACGTGGAGCGGAAATTCTGGAACATGAATTTAATCGTGAATGGGAGAAACATGGTGGCAAACCATATAAAAATTTAGGTGCTAAATAAAAAATTCAAAAACTAAAAAAAATATTTTTAAAATTTATTTTTTAGTGTATTATGAAAACAAAAATTAAGACACAAACATCCGTACATATGTATTTCAAATTTATAATTAAAAATTATAAAATAATAAAAAAACAAATGGAAATATTACCGCATAACAAGAAATCTAAATTAAATGATAAGAAAACGAATTACAAATAAAAAGAATCATACGACAAAACAAAAATCAATCAAAGGGGGCATTAAATATTTTTACACATAAAACAGAAACAACAATAATACGTAGATAGTATACTTTATGTAGACACCTAAAAAAAAAAAACATAATCCTTCCAATAACAACACGAAAATAAAATGAACATATGAAATGAATGTCTTTTAATTCCTAATACCATTATAGAAATGACAAAATTTATACTAAAAAATTGTAAACAAAATAAATTGATATTTTCCTCGTTATGTAAAACCGGGCATTCTTTATTAGATTATTATTTATAAAAAGAATTAATCATTTCATTTCAATTTACACTGTATGTCTTGTAAGTATTATCATTAAACAATTTTACATATTTTTTTGTAATAATAATATTTTTGAATAATTTCCAATAGTTTATATCTTAACTATGATGCAAACAAAAATAATACAAATCAAAAGTAATTAAATGAATGAATATCGATACCTAGTATTACAACAAAATGATATAATGGACACAAATGCATTTTATAAGGGAAATAAATAAATTAATATGTCTATACAAAAAAACAGAGTTTTTGTTTTTAATTGGGTCTAACAGTCCAATTACTGGAGGAAAACATTTGTAGTTAATGGGGTTTTAAGAATTAGGATTCTGATAACTAAAAATATTCTGTTGAATGTTCTCATTAGAGGAGAATGAACACTTCTTTACAAGAAAGTGTGTTAGTACGGCCAACTTGTTAAAACTAAACTTTCAAAAGTTACAACAAAATGTGCTCTTTAACCTTTGCTTGAGATCAGTTAGTAATCAATATTTCCTTTTACAATTTCCCTTTATTATATACTTCCGCTGTTTCGACAGTCAGGGAAGTATTTTGAACAAAATATTGCAAAATGTTGTTCAATATGAGAAAGCAAGTATAGAAAAAATTCCGGTCAATTGAAATAAAGTTTTTTTCCCGCAATTTTTATTATCTCCGACAATAATAAAATATTTCTTTTTAAATGGTCTCAAAACATAACTTCATGGGTGTTATCTGGCTCTAAAATACATATTTCTACCAAAAGTCTAATATTTCTTCCCAATTGTGTCCAAATACAATTTTTTGAAACGTTCCAAAATTCCATGTCGATGCAGAAATTAGCTTATTTAATAATAGTAATGTTAATAGCATAGGTGCATATTACATAATAAATCGTAAAATATCAAAATTTAAGTGTTTATCCTATTTTTTCATTAAAATTTTTAAATGAAGCAAGACGCAACTTATTACTCTTAAATAGTTGGCGTTTTACCTTTTTATTGGCATATATAAAACCTCCAATATCTCCCCTATAAAATGACACCAATATTGTGGCAATCGCTTCATCCAATGCTGAGTTATTACAATTTTAATTAAGACTTGTCACAAAATACGCTTCCTATCGTCTTCTGTTTGCCTATTACTCGAGCTGATTTGACTAAGAAATCCATTCTCTACAAAACGGCCCAGTTCAAGGAGGTTGCCATATTGTTTTGGTAAGTTTTATGAAATAATGCAAAAACCTTAGCATACTTTTAGGCGTTCTATAGAATAGTGTGGCAATCGACGAAAAAAAAACTAGTTTCTTTAATACTGGACCGTAATAAGGAAATTTTTCCCTCCGCCAAGAAAGAGAGTGTAATCTTTTTATTTAAATTGAAAACAAACATTCCAACAAGTCACTACAATCCAATAGAAATAGCAAGTTTAATATAAACTTTCCGGAACAGAGCATAGGCCCATAACTCAACACGTTTCGATATAAACGGCATAAAAACAATCAAATCAATTAAAAAATAATGCATGACAATTTTTGCACCAAAATCACAATATCGAGGAATAATGAATGAACAGATTCTTTTGCAAGGAATAATTTTATTAAAAAGATACATTGTCACATAATATTGAATTTGATGACTTCTTAAAAATTTGTCATGTAAATGTCGTATAAAGCCTCTTTTTAAATCACTTCAAGAAATCCACAACCTCTTCCAATTCTCGCTGACGTGCTTGTTTTTGGGCCCAACGACTTTCGGCAACTTTAACATTGACCACCCAACGATCATGGGCTAAACGTATACCGCAAGCACCACCTTCATCGGGTAAAATTTTGGGCATTTTTGAACCTTGCATGCCGCCCATATAATATGTAGCATCCGAACGTAAATGACGACGTTTAGCTGGACAAAGTTTCCCACCCTTGGGAAATGGAGGCTCTGACAGGTACAACTTCAGGCAACCCTGATGGAACAAATGGCCGCAATATACACGTTCAACATACGAGTCTTTGTTTTCGTCCTTCTCCAAATCATTTGGGTTACGGGGTAATACCAATTGTCCACATATAGGGCATTCCTCCATATGAAATCCTCTTGTCGCCTCAAGGCAAAACTTTAACGCTCTATAAAGCGAGGGTACTGGTTGAAAATCGGCTATAGTTTTTCCTTTGGGCATACGCAACGGCGGCTCTACGCATTGACGAGCAATTTCACGTGATTGGCCATTTAAATAGCGCAACAAAATGGCAGGAAGATTTGTTTCCTGCTGTTGCAATTCAACACAATGTTGCGGATAATCATCAGGTACCACAGCCTTTAATCGATAATAATAATCCCCACCTTTAGCGGTGAAATGTATCGCACTTGCTTTCTGTTTCAGCTTTAACTGGTCCGCAGTTGCTTCAGGTCCCAAATCTTTACGCAATTGCTGTATCTCATCGAAACATACGCACAGCGGGTTATCTTGAACATACTGTTGCAAAAACTTGAGAACCTTCAGACAATGAGGTTTTCCCAAGAACTCTTGTTGCAATTGTTTTTCGCAAACACTCGTCAAACCTTGAAGAAACTTATCCGAAAGAGTTTTGCTTTTCAATTCAATTAGAACCGCTTCTTTGGGATAATCGTTTGGAAAACGAAGACACGCTGTAAGTTGACGATAGAACTGATTCTCGTGGATATCAACACGTATAAAGGGCGCTGGGGCAGCTGCAGTGCACGCAATTATTTTTGAGTTGGGAACAACATTTTCACAAAGTTTACGTACTTCATCAATTTCAAATTCAATAATACTCATAATCTGGTGAATGAATAAAGTGTTGAAATATTCCAAAGTCTGAAATTGCCCGTATTTTTGTCTTTTTCACGAAAAAAAGAAATAATTGCAGTAAAGTAATTGAGACTCTTCTTCTTATCTACTCTTCTTCTATTCATATTTTGTGACATTTCATAAAGTGATTACAGAGCCGCACTAAAATCTTGCCGCCGTTTTCCATTATAATTTGACATTAATATGCCAAGTCTTTAGTACGAGTTGGTAAAAAAGTAATCAATGGTACTTAATTTGGTATTGGGTGAAGGCATGGTATAACTAAGAAGGTAAAGTCATGTAATCATATGTTTAATTTTTTTTTTTCAAATTTATATATATTTGACAACATCTCATTGTCAAAATCATAAATCCATTGAATACACACAAAACCAGAGTTAAATTATATGAAATTAGGTTACCTTTATTTCATTGTTCCATAGGTGAAGGGATAGAACTGGATTCCTTACATTTAATATTGAAATCTCTGTTGGTATCTGGAATTGAGATATGGGGGTGGTGTTGGAAGAGTGTACTATAATTGTACGAAAAGAACAAATAGTAGAACGACAACAATTACAATATAGTGGACAACAAAGTGGAATGATTTTTCTGACGTTAAACCAATCGTGCTGTGCATGATTGCCACATTTTTTGTGCACGGTTGCCACATTTGGTAAAAGTCTATTTAAATTCGTGCCATTTATTTAATCCCTTTCACATTGACTATGAGACAATGCTTCGTTTTTATGTCATATTCAACACTGTGGCCAAGTTCTTTTTTGTGAATTTAATAAAATCATTCCGTTCGATTAAGTCAGCATAGCTTCCATATATATGTTTCACCGATTGAAGTGCCTTTGTAGTTTTCGCTTATTAACAATCAATTTACTTCACAGAAATTCCAAAAATAAACGTTTATTTGTCACGGCCGCCAGACATTATATTTCGCCGGTCTATTTACCCAAAATTTTATAGGCTAGTATAGACATCATGTTGGAATCATAGTACAACTAATTCAAGTTTACATCATTTCAAATTATGATATTTCGCTCTGCCTTCTTTATTATTTACCTTGTCAAATCTAAATTCATTTAAAAAGGGTCCCATCACGTATTTATATATGAATTTATGAATATACGTTTTAACAATGAAATGTAGGTATACATTTGAATAGAATTGCAAACATATGACTGCTTAGGTTGCATTTTTTATTGTACCATGGAAGGAACTTTTGTTTTTACTGTTTCTAAACCACACATTAGAATTTTAACTAAACTCATGGCAACCCCATGAAACATATGTTTCGCACAAATAAGAAAAAAAATCCATTTGGTAGCCACGTTGTGATTCACCGAACGAAGAAGCAAAACGATTGGCATTGCTTTCTGTTTACGGAGAAATAAGGACATTTACTGCCGATTTCATCATCTTTTTCAATAAGAATGGTTTTGGATTTGGATCTCTTCCGCAGTGACAAGGGTGGTAATCCCGATGCCATTCGCAAAAATCAAGAAAAACGTTTCAAAGACGTGGCTCTGGTCGAGACTGTCATCAGTCAAGACACCGAATGGCGTCAAAGACGTCATCGTGCTGATAATCTGAATAAGGTGAAGAATGTCTGTAGCAAGGTGATTGGTGAGAAAATGAAGAAAAAGGAACCACAAGGCGATGAGGCTGAAGATGTTCCGGCTGATGTCCAGCAAGATTTGACCGAACTCAATGCTGAGAAATTATCCCAGCTGACGGTGAATCAAATTAAAAAAGTTCGTGTACTGATTGACCAAGCCATGGCTGAAAACGAGAGACTATTGCAAGAAGCTGAACAGAAGAGGAATCAAGCTCTGAGGGAAGTTGGTAATCATTTGCATGAATCTGTCCCAGTATCCAATGATGAGGAAGAAAACAAAGTCGAGAGGACATTTGGCGATTGTACAAAACGTAACAAGTACTCACATGTGGATTTGATTGTTATGATTGATGGTATGAATGGTGATAAGGGAGCGGTTGTATCTGGAGGACGTGGTTATTTCCTAACTGGCCCCGCTGTGTTTTTGGAGCAAGCTTTGATTCAACACGCCCTGCATTTGTTGTACGCCAAGGACTATGTTCCTTTGTACACACCCTTCTTTATGCGCAAAGAGGTTATGCAAGAAGTGGCCCAATTGTCGCAATTCGATGAGGAACTCTACAAGGTTATTGGTAAAGGTAGTGAAAAGGCTGAAGAAGCTGGCACTGATGAAAAATACTTGATTGCGACTTCCGAACAACCAATTGCTGCCTATCACCGCGATGAATGGCTTCCTGAAGCTTCATTGCCCATTAAATATGCCGGTTTGTCAACATGTTTCCGCCAAGAAGTTGGCTCTCACGGTCGTGATACCCGTGGTATCTTCCGTGTACATCAATTCGAAAAAGTTGAACAATTCGTCTTGACCTCACCCCATGACAATAAATCTTGGGAAATGATGGATGAAATGATCAGCAATGCTGAAACCTTCTGCCAATCTTTGGGCATTCCATACCGTATTGTCAACATTGTATCGGGTGCTCTTAATCATGCTGCTGCTAAGAAATTGGATCTTGAAGCCTGGTTTGCCGGCAGCGGCGCATTCCGTGAATTGGTCTCGTGTTCCAATTGTTTGGATTACCAAGCCAGACGTTTGTTAGTACGTTATGGTCAAACAAAGAAAATGAATGCCGCTGTCGATTATGTGCACATGTTGAATGCCACTATGTGCGCTGCCACTCGCGTCATCTGTGCCATTTTGGAAACACATCAAACAGAGACAGGCGTTAAGGTGCCAGAGCCACTTAAGAAATATATGCCTGAAAAATACAAGGACGAAATTCCATTTGTAAAACCTGCTCCAATTGATGTTGAAGCTGCTGCTGCTACTAACAAAAAGGCTGGCAAGGGTAACAAGAAAGATGCTGCAGCTGCTTAAATATTAAACTAAAATAAAATCCAGGAAATTACGCCCCTCTAGTTTAAGTACGATTGGAAAACGATAATTATGCATTTTCTTGTAATACGCTTAAACAGATAAATATTTTAAAACAATATCATTAGCAGTTTGTATGACAAAACAAAGGGAGAGATTGTTTCGAAAAGGTATTTTCTAAGTATTTCTAATTTATTATTCACACAAAATGTTCTCGATTTTTAAAGATTAACGTAAATTATACCAAGATATGTTAACTCCCGTTATTCATTAGCAGAGCGATATTAAATACATTTGGTATAAATAAAATGGAATAAAGGAAAATATAAATGAAAACTATTAAACATGTGTTTCCTATCTAAAAATATCTAGTTATGGTCCAAAAAGTAGCAAGAAATTAAACATAATAAGATATAAATCATGATACAGGTACGGTATCATGTTTAAAACATGTTTTTGAAAATGTGAATAAAAAATATATGCATTCATAAGTGTTTCTTTTGTTGCCGCTAAGAAGTATACGTGGATATGTTCCTTTGTAAAACAGGGTTTTCACTCCACCTTTCTTTTTTATACTTAACAACGTTAGGATCATAGAGCCTTCATACATTTTTCCAATCAGATATTCTAATCTATCTAAAACATAGTCTGATTTAATATTTTAATTTTAATATTTTTTATTTGGTTTTACAAGTCTTTACTCAGTATTTGCACTATTTTAAATCGGAATCATGCATTAACATAAGCCAGAATATTCAAAATATCAGTTTATTAGACTAAAGGTGTGAGTACATAAGCAGCGACTAGGCTTATTAATGCCAAATTATAAAGAAAAACGATAGCTGGAATTGCTAATGAACCCAAATTTTTTCCGTGCCTGAAACACTAAAAATGGTCATTGATGATAAAATTGAAAAAAAAAATCTCCCTATCTCAACAAAAATAAAAAAAGACTTACCACAATTCAATTTCTATCTGTACTTCGTATATGCTTAACAATTCTATGTAATAAATAAATAATGTTAATAAATTAAAAAGAATTTTTAATTAAAACAGACAATCAGCCTATTTCTCGTCAGCCTTTTCCGTTGTTTCAATGCGGCATTTTGGCAACGCTTTTTTAAATTTCTGTATAACGTCATCGATATTTTTTACATAACGCATATTGAATATGCGCAACTCTTGGAGATTTTTCATTTCTTCAATAACTGCCAGACCATCGTCACTAATGTTATCACATTCCGATATTTGCAGTGACTTTAGTGTTTCCTTGAGGTGGACAAGGCCATTTAAACCATCCGATTCCAGGTGTTTACATTTGTGAAAGATAACGGTATCGATGTGATTGCAACCCTTGAAGTGATCCAACCCGATTTTCATTAGTGAGGCACCAGAACCATCAACAACTTTCACTTTGAACCTGTAATGTTCTGGAGGTAGTATGTTGTAGTCTTTGATGAGGCGGCTTGGAGCATCTACCGTACAAATGCCGCCACCGTTCTTTATAACCCATTCTGCACAAAGACGATCAGCACCCACTAATCTCTGTCGATCTATATCTACACGGTTGAAAGCAATTGCAACGTACGCCCATAAGTTTCTATTAGCATTGGCCGGATTTGTTGTTTGTGTATTGCAAATGTGTTTAGCTCCAAGTAAACTACCTTTTAGAAGGTTTAGAGGTCTTTCAGCAAGCATCTTGCCAATGGAGTTGGAAAAGTTCAAAGTTTTTCGGTTGTTTTTAATGTAAAGAGTCAGCTGTTCTCTCTTTTATTCTTTGCTTTTTCTTGTGCACTCAGTAAGCGAGGGTTGCCAATGTACATGCAAATATTCCATAATTTTATCCAATGCAATTTATGCCGGCCGGCACAATTGTGGTTACTTGAATATCTATAAAAAATAGATTGTATTCATTCATTTTTATACTCGCCTGGCATAAACCATATTGCCAGTACGAACCCTCTCCTACAAACAAAGAATTGCCGCCAGAAAATTTGCCTAATATAAATTTGAACTCTTATAAAATAATAAAAAAAACAATGATGAAAAATGCAAGGCAAGTTCAAACCTACCATAAGTAAACGCGTCTAAATCAGGAGAATGCATAATCGAAAACATAGGCCACACAAACACGCGAGCATTTGCTTCATGGTAGAAATACCAGGTAGCAACATAGGCGAAAATTACAAC